AATGCACGTCAATTAGGTGGAGTAGACTTGCTGCCTTCTGCCAGGGCACTTCCTGGTTTTTTGCACAGGCAAGTGTAAAATACTTCACGTCAGATATCGTGCTTCCTGTCTGTACTGTTGAAAATCAGTCACAGAACGTGGTTATCTATTCCTTGGTGTTCCCTGATGTGTACTGTATTTATATCACAGTCTGAGTGATTATGGGTGCACACACCCTCAACGTGGCCCTTCTAGAAGTTCTGTGATCCTCCTTGAGTCCCACCTCTCGCCCACACATCTGCCTCAAGTAAAATATCCTGAGTCCGTACATGTTAGAGGTATTCCTAAATGTGACAAGACTAAAAGTGAGTCATGGGCATTTTGAGGCCTGCCATATTCTTTAGAATTGTGGGTATTAAGAGCTGAGAATGCAACTACCTTGCTTTTAACCTTCTTTGTTGAATTGATAATCCTAGCTCAGAAAATCCTTTAGGCCTCTCCTCAAACTAATCCATGCTGTCAGATGAAATTGCCAAAGTGACATTTAATAGTGAACTAGTGTGTGTGTATTTGTGCGTGTGGTCATTCTTACGTTCTTATGAATTTAGGGTTTTTATTATTGATATGTATTTGGGTGTATATAAAAATAAATACACAAAGGACTCTGCTGAGTCAAATGGGGATGTACAAATTAAGAAGATTAAGTGTTGAATGAAGAGCAGACTGAGAAAGAATTTGGAGAAGGTTTTGTCCCTGACCCTCAGCTGACTACTGGACTCCAGTCACGGTTCCTCTGTATTCAAGATTGAGATGATTATCACATGTCTGGAACAAATATCTTTCTTTACATTTTTTTCTTTTTCCTGATTGTGGAGGGAAGGACATGAGAACACTGTTTTTTGACATTTCACTGATGAGAATCACCAACTTAAAGGAAGTCAAGGCCTGGACATCTGTATGCAACTATAGGAAGCATATAAAAGGCTCAGGGTGTTTAGTAGATGAATGAATCCCTTTGACTTAGTTTATGACCCCACAGGATTAAGATCTGATTAAGATCAATACCACTTTGTGCCAGTGCAGACTGTAGAGTTGGGCAGAGTGAGTTGAATTTTTACTGAAATAGTCTTTTCTTGAAGCTGCTCACTGGCAAAATTTTTCTAGATTTCAGTCTAAACATCTGTCAGACTGTCTGCACATCCTGTCAAAAACTAGAGACCTTGAAAAGCCAGTGACCCTTTTTGCCATCTGTGGACTTAGAATTTAGTTTAGGCTGGAACTTTGTTAAAGACCAGAGTCTACTGTGAGAGTGTATTAGAGAATAGAGAAATTATTGTTTTTATTTTTTTTTTCAAATGGCAAGGCTGGCCCTGTAGTACAATGGGTAAGCCATCTGCATAGGGAGCTGTATCCTGTATGGCCGACTCTGGTTTGAGTCCTATTCCTGGTGCCTTGAAAAACTCGCCATGCCCACATCCTGACCAAATGGATGAGGGGGATTACAATGTGACTACGTCCCTTTGGAGGATACTTTCTTTTTCTCTGGGAAGCATACACACAATTAAAAAAAAAAAACCCAAAACAAAACCTTTTTTTTAATTAAACAAGAAAAAGACCACAAAGTGTCATCAGGTCTCTGGTACCTGCGGTCATCATTTCCACAGGATCAGTGATGAGTGAGAGAGCCTGCCATAGCCTGGAGTTCCTTGTTTGTTTTTTCCATAGTTGACCTTTGGTCGAGCAAGTTGAATAAACTGTGCTTATCCATCTGTTATCAGTCGGTGACTGTCTGCTGTCCTATTTTATCTTCATTTCACCACCTGGTCCGCATGCTAGCACTTTCTCCCCAATCCAGTACCAGCAGACATATATTCTTTAATGTGTTAGGTAAAATATTCTTGCATATCTGAAATTTTTTTTATAAAGAACTATTTTACTGAACTTTATTTATTTATTTTTAATTTGACCAGAGAGGGACCGGGGTGGTGGGGGCAGAGAGAAAGTGAGAAAGCAAGCCACAGGGTCCAGGACTTGAACTGCAGTTGGCCATATGGGAGTCCAGCGCCCTTAACCACCATGCCACCTGCTGGCTCTGCATATCTGAAATGTTTAAAAATAGTTTTTGTTTGTTTGTTTGTTTGTCTGTTTTTTAAAGAGGTTTTTGTTATAGGGCGGGTGCGCTTGCCAGACAGACAGAGACAGATAGACAGAAAACAAGAAATCACCCCCCCAGGGGGGATGGCCACGCCACAATCCCTTCTCCTCCATTCTCCTCTCGGGATCTTGGGCACGCACGCACATGTGCTTGGCGTGAGTTTTAAGCCACTGGGTCCAGGACACAAACCATGGTCGACTACGTGGGAGTCCAGTGACATAGCCATTACGCTAACTGCTTGTCCCTAAAAATAGGGTTTTAAAATACATGTTTGTGGTAAAACACAACACTCTGCGAGGCTGACCCACATGGGATAGGGCTGGGCTGACGTCCCAGCACCTCTCTTAGCAGCCAGGATGTACTGGCCCGTTATCAGGAGCTGGCTATAGCTGGGAGTGGGTCACAATGTCCAGACCCTGTGAAGGTGCTGTGTCTCCCTTTTGCATGCTCTCTCTCTCTCTCTGTCTCACTCACGGAAGAAATAAATAAATAAACTCAAATTTATGTATGCTTGTGGTATAAGCTACATCAGTTGCATTATTTCATAGTTTCAGAAACACCGTCTTTTTCATTTCCCACTGTAGGTCACAAACAAATCCCCATGGCACCAGGAACTCCCCTTCACTCCACTCACCCATTTCCCTCTGAAGACTCATCACCTGTCGGCAGCATAGTTGGCAGCCCTCTGCCCAGCTTTGTGCCATTCTAGAGTGGCAAGCACGTCTAGACTCCCTAGAAATACTATCTTTCAACTCTCTTTTGGCAAGTGTAAACTTTCTGCCGGATTATGTCAACAGATATATATGTTTTTCATCCTCATAGAAATAGATTGGTGCTGGAATTTCTCCTGGATTTCTCTAGGCAGGGATAAAATAAAGACTATCTTTTTACTCATTAAAATTTTTGCTCATTAAAAATGTCTGAGGGCTCTTGATTCCCAGGGGTGAGACTGGTGACATACATAACACCAGCAGCGGCTATTCTGGATTTTCTGCTTTCAGGCATGTCTTTGCTCTTGGATGAGCCCCTTGTGGTTTTCAAAAGAACTAGCGAGTCAATTATAAATAGAAGGCCTGTGTCTGTGTGTCTGCGTGCACTTACTCTGTGGGACCAGGCACCCACGTTACACTGGGCAGTGAACTATTTTTCCACTTCTTTGAAGAGGGAAGAAGAAAGAGGAAGGATGATTTTCTCTTTTTAACTTAACCCACATCTCTACACACACCTACATAAATCTGTGTAAATGAACTTGACATTTTCAAAGACCTTACCTTAAAGTCTTCTCATAAAAGGACAGCCACCCCGACCTGTTATTTTAAGAAAACAGCTGAATCTCACAGACCCACTACCGAGGGCTCGCGGATGAGCAGGCAGCCTGTAGGAGCCGTAGACCTTCAGAGGGAACTCGCACAGCTCTGTTTCCCTATATGAACAGGATGCGTGACAATGGCCTTGGCTAACCAATCACTGGCCGTTAGGACTTGGCTGTTTACGTTCTGTCTGTACTTTTCTTCCTTGCTCGTAGGAACTATTAGGACCAGCAGGTGAGAACAAATCATTCCAACAGGGAGGGGGGAAAATGTGAGGTGAAAAATGAAGCTGCAAATACATGTGAACACTGAAGAGGTCTGATTTGTTGTGCCTCCTCAGTGGTATATTCCCTTCTCTGCTTCCATTGCACCTTAGACTCGCCAAGTATGGGCTTTTCCTTTGGTCTTGTTACCAAATGTTCAGACATTTCCTTTGTTCTGTTCTGTTCTGTTCTGTCCTGTCCTGTCCTCTCCTGTCCAATCCGATCCTATTATTCTATTATTCTATTCTGTCCTATTATTATTCTTCTCTATTCTTCTTCTTCTCCTTCTTTTTTTCCTCCTCCTCTTCCTCTGCCTCCTCCACTTCCTCCTCCTCCTCCTTCTTCTTTCTTCTTCCTATCCTATCCTATTCCATTCTGTTTGACTCTCTTTATCACCTTCTGCCCTCGTCCTTGATACTTGGCCCTCATTTTCTTCCCTACCAGTTCTTGAGCAGCTACCAATTCCCTTTCTGGTGTAAAAACTTCAGCGTTGCTACTCATTGAACAGTTGAGTCTAGGAACTTAACCAGAAATATGAGGGGGATATTAAAAAGTTCATGGAGAATACATATTATGAGAAACCTACTTGTGGATTTCGAAATTTTTTACTCCAAAATAAACTTGTACTTTCATTACATTTTTCACAAACTTTTAGAAGTCCCTGTATATTGATAATATGACTTACAATTATATTGGGTTATTGGGAAAGTCATGATGCATTTTTGCATAGAAAACCAGACAAATATGTCATGACTTTCCCGACAACCTAATAGATTCTGTATTCTCGAAGACTACAGGGATGTCAGAATTCCTTATTTTATCAGTGGATAGAGATTTGTACGGAGCTAGAAGACACTGCTATTAACAGCTGCCACATATGTAGTAGCCATTTTATATGAAATAAAGGTGATGATCATTGTGTTCCAGTAAAACATTCTATTTTGATGCAAGAGTGGGGAGATGAGTGCCTGTGGAGCTGAAGGTAACATGAGAACTGGGAGCAGCTTCTTTTCAGAAGTCTTTGGACAGGTGATTACCAGGCTTTGGCCTAGTTTCATCTAAAAGGATGCACATTCATATAAATGCATTCATATGTTGAGAGAGCTTGTTTGGTTGTTGGTCAGGAGATAAGGTCACAAAATGTGGACATCGTGGCCAGGGGTAATACTTAGCCCGGCTTTCTGTTTGGTGAATGTATTTGGAATAGTCTTACAGAAGCTGTATTTATTTTCCCAATGGAGCGAAAACTTGGAGCATGACTTTTTTTTTTTCCCTCTTCTCACTTCTTTGTAGATGAGAAGCCCAAGGTCAACCCCAAACTTTACATGTGTGTGTGTGAAGGTCTCTCCTGTGGGAATGAGGACCACTGTGAAGGCCAGCAATGCTTTTCCTCCCTGAGCATCAATGATGGCTTCCATGTCTACCAGAAAGGTTGCTTCCAGGTCTACGAGCAGGGGAAGATGACCTGTAAGACCCCGCCGTCGCCTGGCCAAGCTGTGGAGTGCTGCCAAGGGGACTGGTGTAACAGGAACATCACGGCCCAGCTGCCCACTAAAGGTTCTCATGGGCTTTTCTATGTCTGTTAGTGTTGTCCTGAATCTATGTGGGTTAAAGTTCCAAATGGCCACAAGGCTTTCTTCCTACTCTTTGAACTGGAGGTAATGAGAGACACGGATGAGACAAGGAAGAGAAAGGCCTGGCCTTCTGGCGTCTATTGAATAGTAGGAGGAGGGATATTTGGGGAAATGAGTAAGGGTGAGTAAGGGATGTCCACTTTGGGATGGCTTGATTGACCAGTGCACAAACTGGTGAACAGCTCCTCATACCTTTCGTGTTAAGGAACCATGATGTCATTCATAATCGCTGAAACAGTTCTGCTTGATAAATACTTAACATCTGTGTCAAGTGTGTAGGGAGGAAAGTAGAACACAAATCTGGTGCTTCATGGAAGCAAGGCTCACTCACCTCTTCTCCCATCTGGATCTCCAGTGCCTTGTCCCCAGACTGTACAGCTGGGTGTGACTGCACACGAACCCTGTAGTTTATGTGACATGTTCTCTGTAGTGTATTCAATACAGATTTCATATCCTGCAGAAGTCAGTCCTCCTCTGAAACTGGTTCCCTATAAAATATGCCCTTATTTGCTCTCTCAAAATCCCTGCAAATAATAATGTAGACTTATACCAAGCCAAATTATTCCCTCAATATACATTTTTAATAGGTAAAATTATTTATTTTTGCTGTTATAAGCTTTAATGGCTAGAAAAATCATCCAGCAAGGGAGGAGACAAAAAATTAGAAAGCTGATAAAAGATCATGTTAAAATTTATTTCGAACTTAACACAATAACCTTAAGGCATATTTAATAGAAAAATTGGGATGAGCAAATAGGATTGAATAATAAGAGATATTTTTTAAAAGATAAAGTATTTAAATGGTTAAAATTTAACAGATACTTGATAGTGAATTACTATTACACTTGTGATTAATACATTTTTATTAAGTGGATGGACATGAAATGTTCCCATTCATACAGAATTATGATATCAATTATATGATGTTTCTAATCTGAAGAACAGTCTGCTAGACTCTAAGTTGAAGTAGATTTATTTTCTTTATTTAAGGAATCTCTTCCTAATATAATTAAGGAAGCTACAATATTTATCATTTAATGCTATATTTAATTGGTTCTATACTTAATCACACAAATGGCATGTACCGTGGCGAACTGTATGTACCAAGTCATTGATTATTTTGGAGTTGGAAAGTTAAAGAAATATAAAGGAAGTTAGTTGGGTTTGAAATTGGATTGCTAAAGGGGCTGGGAACCTGGAAACTGGTAAGAGAAGAACAGGGCCTGGTGACATAATGTTGTGAAGGGGTCTGAGATTCAGAGATGATTACTGTTTTCAGAACCTTAATTATGGACCTTCATTGTCGAACTAAGAAATTTTAATTAAACCTATTGGGCCAGCAGAAAGAGTGACATTTGCTTGAGTGATACGTGAAATATTAGAGTGACTTCACCATTGCTTGAGTATGTAATAGTGTCTGAACAAGGGAATGAATCAGTGAATGAATGCTTGAATAACTAAGTAAATGAACAGATGAATGAATAGGTTCCTCAGGCAGAAAACATGATGTAGAAAGATTAGTGAGAATTCGGCAACAGACATTCAAGGTGTATTGAAGACAGGGACCACAGATTGGGTAATTGAATGTAAATCAAATGGCATTTTCTCATGGGAATATTACAGCATAGCATACGTAAGGGCTTGATAATAAGACATCCTTACATATTAAATCTTAGTTAATAAGAGTAATATCAGAGATTTCTAGAGTACTTTATATTTTAAAAGCAATTTCACGTGCACACATTAATGTAGATGATTCTCAGTGGAATTTTGACAAACTCCAGTTGTGTCTAATTGAATGATGATTAAAACAACTGGGCCATTGGCCAAGTATTAGGAAGCATTTTAGTTTTAATTTTAACACTGTGACTTGTGAGACTGGTGGTCAAGATCAGGAGTTTCTTATTAGGATGTTGGTTATGCTAAATAGTAAGTTATAACTGATCCTTAGAGCTGATTCCTCTCTTTCTTTCCCACCTTTAGGGAAATCCTTCCCTGGAACACAGAATTTCCACTTGGAAGTTGGCCTCATTATTCTCTCTGTAGTATTTGCAGTATGCCTTCTAGCTTGCCTACTGGGAGTTGCTCTCCGAAAATTTAAAAGGCGCAACCAAGAACGCCTCAATCCTAGAGATGTGGAGTATGGCACCATCGAAGGGCTCATCACCACCAATGTTGGAGACAGCACTTTAGCAGTGAGTTTGTGACCCCACAGGAAATCCCTAGAGTAAAGTGACTAGGCATTCTATACACGTGCTCTTGGTCACTTATGTCCTAAGCAAGCATACGCCAGCACCTGCATAGCCTTCTTTACTTGAGAACATTCGTGCAGACACACATTTAAGTGAGGGAAGGGATTTAGAGCAGTAGCTTCTTGGTAGTTACTTTTCTTTAGGGAGTAAATGAAAAGGGACAGGAAAAAGGCCTGCAATTTTGGAGAACGTGGAGTTTGTAGTATTCAGCTACTCTATTTTTAGCAATAAAGTGCTTTTTAAAAAAGCACGTTTTACTTAATATTAAAAATCAATTTCCCTTCTAAATTATTTCAACACCCTGTAATTTAAGACTGTAAAACTTGACATCCAAAAAAGCTACTATTAAATTTTCATGCTCCTGTGCTGCCCCCTTGTGGGTGCAGTCACCTGGTTAAACAAGTGCAGTCCACTTGCAGTGTGTGGGCCACATCTGTAATCTGGTGTTTTTAAGTAGCCTCCTTAAAAGAAGTGAAAAAAACAAAGAAGATGAAATTCATTTCAACAGTGTAATAAATGCTAAATGATCCATTATACACAATTTTTATTATTTCAACCTATAATCAATAAGAAATGATTAATTATTTTTTAAGTTTATGTATTTCTTTCATCAGTGAGACAGAGGATGAAACAGAGAGATAGCAATCCCAATAGGGTGTTGGCACGATGATTCATTCCTAGCTTTAGGCAGCTCTGAATCATGGGCACCTAGGTGCCTGGCATGGCCAAGTCTTCATATGCAATGCCAGAACTTTTCTATGTGGGCCACCTCATAGAACTTAGTTTTTTACTGCTGTGCTACTGTCTGTTCCCAGTAAAAGATTACTAATGAGATACTTTATATTCTATTTTTGTTGACTTCATTTTCAAAAATCTTGGGTATATTTTATACTTAAAGCCTGTATTATCAGACTAGTCACAGTTTACTTGCTTAGTAACAGCTTTTGGTTGGTTATTACCCTGTTAGAAAGCAAACGGTTAGAAATCATTGCATTTATACATTTTAAGATTACTATTTTATATATGTTGAATTATGAAATCACATGAAAAAGTGAATGTCTTCCCCTTTTTTTTTCTTTTTTCTTTTTTAAAGGGTTTTGCTATAGGGAAAGTGAGAAATCACCGCCATCCCCCAAGAAGATAGCCACATTGCAATCCCTTTTCCTCTATTCTTTTCTCTGGATTTTAGTTATATGTGTACACGTACCCAGCGTGTTTCTTCAAGCCAGTGGGTCCAGGACTTGAACTGTGGAATCAGCTATATGGGATCTAGCACTTTAACTACCATGCCACGTGAGGGCTCCTTCATTTATTTATTTATTTATTTATTTATATTTATTTATTTATTTTAAAATCAGCTTCAAATGGGAAATATCACTACTTGATATAGATCAAAGGTTATTCTAAAGCACAAAACAAAAATAATAATAGTCTACATGGATACTCTGTTGAACCTCATGCCTGCTCTGAAAAAGGCAAAGATTTGTGGGTGTTAGTTGTGAAGGACATGCCAATAATATAACAAGACTCTTTCCTCATAAGCCAATGAATTGCAAGATAATTGAAGTAGTAACTTGCTGTTGTGGGTCTGTGTTAATACCATGCCCATTCATGCATCACCCAACATCATCTTGTATTAAGTCTTGTTATTAGGCAACAAGTTTAGAAGTGCTTGGTTATGCTTGGTGACTCTGTAGTTATTCTTAACCCTGCAACTTCAGTTTTTGTTGGAGAAGCGCCCCTTTCCAGTGGCCATAGTGCTGCTCAGGTGTTGAATCTGGACAACTGTAGGGCCACTCTTGACATGTCAAAGACTTGGTGGTGGCTGATCAGACTGGGAAACATGCCATCCTACTGACTACCCAAATCATTGAGCCATGTGCCAAGTATATTTTTTGATATGAAATGGGGGCAGGTAACCTAGTGTTGCTTCCTTTTACATGCTCTTTAAATTATGGTACAGTAGAAATGGGGAAAGAAGATATATGGACATCGTGTCATAAAATTAGGGAAATACAGTTTTTCATCAGTATACTTACAAGTCTGTTTCACGCTTTAAGGAAAATTAAGTAAGCGTATTGAGTTAGTAGCAAAAAGCTGTGAGGATGAATCTTGACAAGCAACACAAAATTCTAAAATAGATTAGTCAGAATCTTGTTCCTCCTCAGAGCTGCTAACATAACTAATTACCAAGGGTAATAATAAGAATATCTAGTGTAAAATACAGTTAAAGTAGTATTCAGAATTTTGAAAAAGGAATGGAAGTGTCGACCAAAATAGTCTTCTAAACTCAACCATGCCAGATGACAGTATTTCATAGTATAATTACCTAGTAAAGAACGCTATTTAAAATAGGTTGCACTATTGGTCCACACACTTGCTTATTTAAATGAGATGCTCAGTTATGTGACTCAGTGAACATACCTTTAACTAAAATTCCTGCATCCATTGAAAAGCCTTCAGAGGATCCAGGTGTTGAAGTAGATTGTATTAGTCATGAATAACCCCCCACCCTTGTTAAATCTCAGAGCTGGATTTAAAACTAGGATTATACATTATGAAAAAAATAACATAATACTTTAATTTCAGAATCATTCTTCAAAAACAAAAAGTTGAACGACTAAAAGCAAAAGAAACAAGAAAGAGAATGGTTAGGGAGATGTGAAACTCTTCTGCATCTACACTCATTTTCTTGTTCATTATCTCTTTTGTGGTTTTTAAGGGTCCTAAATTTCTTCCGTTGCATGTTCATCTTTTGATAATTTTGCCGATCAACAGTACTGCACAGTGGTACTCAGAGGAAGTGAAAGAACATTAAATTCACACAAATCAATGTATTGTGCTACTAGGCCAGTGAAAATGTTTGGGAAAGGATGAGCTTTGGGAGTGTTAGCTCAACATTACTGTAACCTGAACCCCATCATCCCTGCTCATTTCTAAAGTATTTCTATTTTTTGGCTTGCATTGAGAGTAAGAAGGAAAACTTCATGAATGAACTAACTGGCAACTTTTTTTTTTTCATGTTTATTTGTTAGGAGTTGGTTTCAGACACTAGCTTTGTATTTTTAAGTTAAGTTTTATTTTTTGCCCCTCTCAGATTTGAGTGATTCATACCAATAAATGACAAATAGGTATTCATTTAGTGACCCTTTTGTTTCTCACACACCTGGGAAGTAACCTCCTGTTGGGGACCCTAACCTAACCTGAATGTATCAATTTAATGACCCACATGGTCACTGGAGTCTTTCCATTGCAACCTTACAGTTGTTTGTTCTTTATTCCTAATTTGTTTGTTCCTAATTAGAATTCTTTAGTTGACAAGGCAACCAAAGTGACTCACTTGGTAGACACATGGTGAGCAGAGTAGAATATGGTAAATGGTGCCCAGCCCTTGGACTGAAGGGACTCCTCCCTGCCCCCACCACCCTGCTTTTGTACCACCTGCTGTTTCTACTGCATCCCTTAGTGCTCCGTCCTACATCTTGAACTTTCTATTTTATATCTTTAAACTGTCACTTAGCTACTCCCTTTATGTCTTACATTCTAGATACAAGAATATATATAACTCTAGGTACAAGATAGAACTGTTTATCCTTCAGGAAAACCTATATTAAGAAGAGGGCTGGCTTCTAGTTTTCCTAATAAACGAAACCAGACCTTCCAGTCGAGCTTTCCATGCACACCAGCAGGCCACGTGTCCAGGTTTATGTCTGTGCATTACAACATACATGCCAATACCCTAAACCAGAGCTATTGCTCATTTTCTTTTTTTCTCTTTGTTTTAAACCACAGGATTTACTGGATCATTCATGTACATCAGGAAGTGGCTCTGGTCTTCCTTTTCTGGTTCAAAGAACAGTGGCTCGCCAGATTACATTGTTGGAGTGTGTTGGTAATTCTTTTATTCCTTCTTTGGCTGGCTGGTAACGTGTGATGTTAGTTGTGATTCTAGAAGTAAGGATGGAACGTGAAGAATCAGTCCTTGGTGCCTATTGCTTCATTATCAAACTTAGGAGGTGTGAGGTGGCCCTGGTCTCTATTCTCTGAGTTTCTTGTTTAAGCACTTCAGTTTGTTAAGGTTTTTGTCAAAGGAGTCTATTAACAAATTACTATAGAAAGGGATTTCAAAAAATTTGTAGAAAAAAATGGAATTAAAGTACAAGTTTATTTTGGTACAAAATTCTCTGAAGTCCATGTTTAGTGTTTTTATAAAACATACTTTCTATGAACTATCTGAAGACTCCTTGTTGAGAAGGCCTAGTCAAATGCTTTCAGTTGCAAGTGAATTGATATGGTTGCCCCTTATTATAGATGCTGAGTTGTTTGGGGTAAGTAGGCTATTGGATGGTAAAGTTATTTTTGTGATACTCTTGATTCCTTTCACTCTTCCCCTCCCTTTAAAACTAAATAAACACATTTTACCAAAAGTACTTCTTCCCCTCCCTTTAAAACTAAATAGACAAATTTTACCAAAGGTACCTTTGTAATCTTTGTTAGCAAGAGCTGCATTTCTCTATGGCCTTTCCCATTTTCCCATATATGAGCATATTTATATGTAGAAGTAATCACGGAGTGTATATAATTTGTGTCTCTTTTTTCAGGATCCCCTCGCCCCTGCCCCCCGAGGGCATGTGTGCCAGAAAGAGAAAGAAAGGGAGAAAGACCTGGTCATATAATCTTTTTTCCCCTGTTCTTGTCCTATCCTGTCAAGATCCTGGGCATATTCACACATGTGCCTAGTATTTTAAGCTAATGGGACCAGGACTTGAACCCTGCAGAATCTTGCTTCCCCCGTGCAGCACTTAGCCACAGCACTGTGGCATTGGCTCACAGAATGCTCCCCCCCAGCCCCCACATTTAGAGCACATATGTTCACCAGAGAGTGAGAAACATCCCCCCGGGGGTCATGGCCATACCTCAGTCCCTTTTCCTCTTGGGATTTTGAGCATACACATGCATTAGAGACTCAAACTGTGCAGTTGGTTATGTGAGATCCAGCACCTTAACCTCCATTCCACTGACTGGCCCTCAGAGTGCTTTTCAAAAAGTCCTGACTTGTATTATTTTAACTTTGATGTGACAAGTATTTGCAGACCCCGTGGTAGTTTTCATTAATTTCTCCTTCAGGTGGCATGTGGGTGGTGGCAGCAGCAGTGGTGGGTTGGCAACCTTGGAAGGCTCTCCTCCCTGGGCTCGTGGCTTCTTTGGGCTGGGCTTCGCTGCTCCTGCCCTGTTTTCTTTTATTTTTGGGAGGTAACTGGCCATCACAAGCTGCCTCTACAACTTGGCTGCTGTCCTCCAGATTTTCTTTGTGTTTTCATAGGCAGAGGGGCTTGGCAGAAGAAAGAGCAGAGACTGCTACTCTAAAGCACGCAGGTGGCCATGGAAGCCTTGCTGTGTTTCTAGTTCTGCTGCTGTAGCAACTGGCTACCTTCTCCACGTTTCTCTGCCTCTGCAGGTTATAGAGAGAAAGTAAAGATGGAGAAGCCCCAAATGTGTTCATTGTGTGCAACCAGAGTTGTCTTCTTGGGCCAGCGAGTACACTATTTGATCACAGACAGGGCGTCTGTGAGCGGCACGTTTACCCATTTTGCCCGCCTTTCTCCCCTCCTGTCTGATGGCCCATTCACAGAGCAGCACGATAGCTCAAGAGCACTTCTTAGAGATTGGCCCCAGAATCCAAAGTGCAAAATTATTCTACAAGTACACCTTTAAATATGTACTTTTTCTGGCTCTAGAGATATTCTTCAACATTTTGTGAAGTAATCTAAATTCAGCTAACACATTTTGTTGGGTTAGTACTAAAGGCTTCAATAAAAAGCAGTCGTTTTTCAGGGTTGGTGTTCATGTGGTACAACTTTAAACAAAAATATATGTGACAAACCACACAGAGAGTATTTTGTAATTTTTAGTTAAAAAACATGGGAAGTTGGGCTAGATCAGTCATTCCTAGATGAGGATCAGCAAAACCCCAATATGCCTTAGGGATCCGGGGCTCTGGGACTAGGGCTTTTGGGTAGCTTTGCTTTTGTTTCAGGGGATTCTGCATGAGATTGCATTTGCAAAAAGCATTTGACAACTTTAAAAGCATTTGAACATCATTGAAATAGATTTCTATTTTAATTCTATCTACTTACCCTGTCTATTTACCTCCTGCCTTCTTTCTCTTGTTCCTTTTCTTTTCTTCCTTTTTTTTAAGGGAGGTGATGAGATTTGAGGCAACTTTTTGTCCATAATTTCCTGGGTTATTTTTGTTTCTTCCTAATGATGAAATTAGGGCAAAAGAAAATAAAAGTACAAAATGAAACCAAAGGCAAGAAAAGATTAACAATCTCATTTTTCTAGCAGCTGATTTTATAGTATCTTAGCACTAGCCCTTATCTTGAGCTCAAATGCTAGGCAATTGCTATGACTTTATTAATGTAAATCTTCTACCAAATAGTATTTGTATGACCTGAAAGAAGCCCACAGTAAGCACCTAGAGCCATGTATAACATCTTTGGATTCATCACTGGAACTTAATAGGGGCATTGATTCTTGTCAGGGAATCTAGACTTTGAGGTTTTGATTATGTTTCAGGTATGCCACCTGGACAGACGGCCCATCTCTGCATGTTTGGGTTCTCAGTGGCTCAGTTTTCCAGCAAAGAACTGTATTCCTATACATGCAGGTGGTGCTGCAGCTGCTCATTACAAACCATGTGATCCCAGCAGCCACTTGCCTGGGTAGAAAGCCCCACTGCCCTGCAAGTTGTATCTCCTGCTGCATTGTTATCAGGGCTGATTATAGCCCTGTTGCTCCCCACAGTCTGGTGGTAGTTACCTCCCTTCCCAACCTCCCTGATCACCCCTACCTATAATTACAGAGGAGAATGGAAAAGGGAGCATGTGGCTGAGATGCTGACAAGCATGTTGCTGCTGCTGGAGGGGGCGTGCACCAAACAGATCGGATCACAGCAGAGTCACCAGGTTTTTCAAAATGTGCTCTGAGTTGCCTTTTCAGTGTTGGCCACTTATAGCATCATAGGGACTAACAAACAAATACCCATGACCAATGTCAGAAATCAGAACCATTCTGGGATTACGTGTTTAGGACTTTGTAAATCCACTTTGAAATATATCCTTCACCAAGGAATCCATTAGGGATGGCAATGGCTGCTTGTCGTTTCC